AAAATAAATCTAGGAACCCATTGCTCTGATGAAGTTCAGTTCTGGTGTAGCCAGCAGATATCTGGAGCAAGACAACCTTGACTGTGCACCGCTCATTGTTTCCTAATCTCTGTGAACAAACACCTGCATGTAGATGAAGATAAATTGATAAAAAGAAAATGAAAAGTTGCGTGCAACTAAACACTGCTCAAACACGATTGGTCAATAATACTCAGACCACAAATGGAAACCAGAATGCTCTGATGTCAAAATTTCGTCCTGTTGGCCAAAGATCCTGCATCAAACGCAGATATCTGTTTCTAGAGATGATATATTTATATTTCCCTTTTGATAGCAGAGTTTTATTCTGACATCACTTCCTGTTGGTGTTGGTCACCGTCCTCTACAGTATTTCTACAGAGATTATCAAAGAACAGAGTGCGAGCTGGTGGATGCTGCAGTGTGTTAATGATTTTCAATACTACAGTCACGTCTGGAAATTAATGCAGAATGATTTGTGGATGTTAACATTCAGCACATAGCACCTGTTAATATCATCACCACACACACCGGGTCAGTGTGCGCTCTTATCAGTGTGTGCTGTGCTGAACATTTTTCAAAGGGGCCACGAGGCACTTCGACTTCAGCAGATAAAACAGACTTTGACTGTGGCGAACGAGAGTCTTGGCCTCAATAAATGTCAGTTTCATCTTCAAATCAAAGTGCTTTGGTGTCCTTCTTTGAAACTCATCTCTTAACCCTGACAGCCGACGAGCCTGGATGAAGTGCGGCACACGGAGAAACACGCTTTGAACAGCCTCGTTCGGTTTCTCCTGAGAAGGTTTGCTGCAGGATAAAAAACATGAAAACGTTTGTTTTTTTTTAGCAGCGTTCTGCTACATGTTCAGTTTTACCTGAGCGACTCACACCTGCCATACTTTACACGGTCAGACTCCAAAGAGGGAGGCAGTATCGTTGGATTTCAGTTTTTAAGGAAAGCAGAAGTATTTCCCTCGGCAGACATTTTACTGTGTTTAATTAAATCAGTACATTCTTTTTGATTGTATCTGTGTGTGTTCATCTTTCCCTGAAGCCCAATCATCTAACGAGCTGATTGGTGCCACAGGATTAGCTACAAATAACGTCTTTTGTTGTACCTATAAAGCTTCAGTTACACCTGCCAGGATGAGTAAAGTGATAAATCAGATTCACTCACGCTGTGATCAGCTGTTCAAAACCAGACATAGACTCAGTCAACCAAGAAACCTTCCCAGGGATAAGAAGCCAATACTTGTATGAAATATTCTCCACCATCTCTGATTCATATCTTCTTTTAACGTTCACACACAGATCCCTGAAAGAAAAACCGGGGTCTCTTGAATCTAACACTAAGCGTTGGAGATATCAGCTGTAGATATGTCTACCTTCTCTCCAACATACAGTCTCTTTCAAAATAAAGGCATGATGTTGCTACAACACCAACTTTTTTTTTTTTTTTTCCTGCAACAACAAATGCACGTGGTTGGGTTTAGGAATAAAGAACAGGGTCTTGCTTTACATTCAAACGTAAAGCAAACACTGGACTCTAGGGTAACAGCTGTGATTGTTGGACCCATCCACCACCTCCCCAGACTTTCCCCACCTTATTAACTTTCGTTGCTGTCCAGACATGTTTTCTCTTGATGCCACATTTCCCCCTGATGCTGGGAACCATTACAGAATTACCACCAAGGAAGAGTGGAGTAGAAGTTAAAGTAGCAGAAAATGGAAATACTTAAATAAAGTAAAAGTACCTCAAAGTTGAACTTAAGTACAGTACTTGAGTGTCTTGAGTAAATTATGTGGCAGAACACCTTCAATATAACAGAGGAGCAGAGAGAGAAGCTGCAGTAAGGGAACACTCAGGGCTTTGCTCTGTTTTAAGGATCAAAGTAAGCTGTATTACCGACTAAAGTTACTCTAACACACTCATCTCAAAGGGTCAGTGCACCCAGATCCCACAAGACATTTTCACAGTTGTATCAAGTCGTGCCGGCAGCCGAGGTCCTGAGGTTTTATATGTCTCCAGAAACAATGTTCCACTTACTGTGAATAATCCACTCAGCTCACTTTGAACTGATTTCACTGGTGGGACTATTTCTTTAGTCGAAAAGGGTTGGAATGAAAACTAAATGTATTTTTTTCAATCCACTAGAAAAGAAGATTACATTCACCTCCACTGTATCAGGGTGAAATCTCAGAGACAGATATCTTTAAGCATCACTGGGTAAAACAGCACTATGGATTTTAGGTGGATCGGTCCTTTAATATGGAAAGTTTAAGTGGTTTTCTAAGTATTGTATCACTTCTACTTTCTTATGAATATAAAGATAAAATGACCCCAGGAGATGGAGCGGGGTCGAGTAGAGAAAGTATGCAGTTCAGTCTCACAACAAGTACTACTGAGGTCAGCGAGCGTCGACAGATAAATGGTATCTCATTTAATCCGGTCCTCTCAGCCTGACCCCAAACTCACATTACACTGATAAGATAAAATGATGTGCAGTCATCACTGTTCTACCTTTTTATCCACTTCAGGTGGAAATGTATCCACTCAAGTTGCACAAGTAGAATTGCAAAGCTGCTGTTTAAATTTTCCCCTCAACAGTTACAGCTGAGGTGCCTTTGAGTCAGACACTCGTGACTAAACACTCTGGCTGCAGTTGGCTCCGGTTGAACTTGAATTTGTCAGATTGTTCGTGTGTGGCAGGAAAAGGGCAAACTTTGCATAAATAAAAGTAAGAATGAAAGAAAAACCATTGGCAGAACTCCATTATGATTCCTTTCATGTCAGTGACCACCGACAGTGTACGTGCCCGTCACAGGCAGCGGATGGCAGTGTTGTTTAACTAGTCTGATGGATTTACAGCGTGGACGAACAAAAAAGGCAGAACATGGAAACAGAATCACAGCAGAAAGTCAGAACTCTGATGTTTTCTTTGGTCCAGTCTCAACTGCAACTGTAAGATAGATGTTTAATAATCTTGTAATGATAGTTTTCATATTCTGTGACAAGATAAAAAAAAAGTCCATGCTTTCCCTCCTTTCAATTCTTATCTCTCTTTTTCAAAAACTTCTGGATTTAAACACGCAAGCAGGATTATTTATAGATATTTTTTCATTCATGAGACAGGACATTAACGTTGGCTAAAATCTTAAAGTACAACACTGTACAGAAATATAAGGAAAAGAATGCAAAACAGACAGGTCACACAACAAAATAGAAAACAAACAAACTAGAAACATGCATCATAGTGTATTTAAGTACACACAGGACAGACCTCCTGTCGAGGTATAAGTCCATAGCTCCAGGCCCGGAACAATCTTCACATATTTCATGAATGGGTCCCAGCTTTTGTAAAAATCTCCTCATAGAGCCTTTCTGGGTGCATCAGATTTCTTCCAGCTCCATATTCTGCATCACATCTTTGATCTGCATCGAGGATTTCCAATGGAAGAAAAGGTCAGTGTAATCTGTAGCTGTGTGATGTCTACAAGTATATCTGGCCTTTCATTGAGGAGAAAATGTTGAG